ATAATTTAGCACTAAACTTACGTCTTAGACACAAAGACAAATCGGGATTCTCAAGGCCGTGAATGTGGATGTTTATTATTTTGCGGATGTGATGCAGTATATTTCTTATTCTTTAAGTTGTTTATTTAACGACACTGTATCGAGATTCATAGCACCGGATGATAGAATGATTACATATAATGAAGAAGATACTGAAACGGGAAACCGAAATACTCTGAGGAAGACCATCCAATTTCCGTTGTGTCCACCACAAATCCCACGTGACATGACGGGGATGAACCCGGGATGCGTCAGTGGGAAGTCAGCGACTACTCGCCTGAGCTATGGCGTGGCCTCATGTCGTGTAGTCTGGCATAAAAATATCAATGTTTTAGAAGAACCTTCTACCTCCATTTTCAGAGTACAGGAGTCACATTCAAGAAGACAGCAAAATCCAGATTCCACTTTACCTTGTATTTGTTTAAACAGAAATTTATCATTACGTAACACTAAACAAAAGCGTATCCATTATAGAGGATGTCACATCACACAGTCTAAATGGAAAACTGTGCTTCCCTTTCCATTCAATTGTCTTCTACTTGTGAACGAACATTCAGAGGAGTATACATTATCAGTTCCTTCAGCGCGGAGATTTCCTTAAAGAATACTGTAGATTTGGATGGGAACGCTTAGCAGTGAAGATTCTAAGGAGTTATAACACAATACAACCTTGCACAAGCCATAAATGTATTCCCAAGAACCTGCTGCATATTCATAAAATTCCATGTGCAAGATGGTATAGTGCTAAGAAGAAAGTTATCACCCTTAAATTTTTACTTTTAATTTTCACTGTACAAGTAAGTTAAAATGGTATTATGGTCTCTCTGGTCTCTACGGGAGAACAGAAGACTCAGTCACGTGATCGAATACTTCAGGTTAGTGGAGGGATATTTAAATTATGTTGAATACCAGAATTATCCTTCCAGAGGCTGAGAGTGGAATCATGCATAATTCATGCACCAGCATCTTCTTTATTATCTTCAATAAGTACGTAAATTTGTTCTCTCCCTGTTCCTAGTGAAAGAATAATATAGTGGACACGTATTCAGTAATTTACTTTTTGCCTTACAACGTAATTGATAAATAACAAAGAAAGTTTTATGAGATTGTGGTAACTTTCAGGTAATTGGATTAACTTTTGAGTCAGTCAGTCTTTTTTTATTTCGGAAGCAAGGTTCACAAATGTAGTACACTTTAGAGACCAGCCTTCTGTGAATTTCTGTTGTCATGGTGACACTCTCCATACACGTACGAGTACAGCGTGACAGTAAAATATCGCCGGGTGATTCAGATTGAAAGTTTTGATGCGAATTCTGAATTGTCAAGGTTGAGCCTTTCATTGCTCCCTGTCATGTATGGCAGGCAGTTTTTCGTGAGAAAAGGGAATTAATAACTGCAGGAGGGGGAACTTTATCCAGTGGGAAATGAAACGTTCCCGTTTTTTACGGTCAGTATTCATATTCTGCACAATTAACTTTCTTCATATTAAATTTTCATGTTTTCTTCCAAATTCTACATGATTTTATTCCACAAGTGCTCCGCTTGTCGGCGAAGTTAGTTTCAACTTTAGCGGATAGAGGGCGTCGCGTTGTCAGCGCAACGAATCCCCACGGCCATTAATTTCGGTTTTCTAGACCGGAGCCGCTGTTTCCTTGAAATTGCTCCTCAATTATCCTCACGAGGCTGAGTGGACCCCGTTCCAGACCCACTACTTCTCAGAAAATCTGGTAGCGCCGGGAATCGAACCCGTACCTCTAGATCTGTAGCCAGGAACTCTGACCACTAGACCACAAGAGTTTATTCTAGAATTAGTGACATTTTTTCTGTCGCATATAGCTAAGGCTTTTGTGGTATTAAGTAAGGATTACTCGCCACTCGTAATGGTTTTGTATGAATAAACCGAATGTATTTTAGTGCCTCAACATTAAGGATGAAATTAGTTTGTGTTGTTGTATCAAGTCCCGTCACTCAAGACAGTAGTAAACGCATCAGATCTGCCCAAAATGATACCAAACACAGGTCATGCCTTGCATTTCTTATGACATAACACCTCGTAACGTTGAAAAATATACATAATGGATTTCTGTTATGTATATTTGTCATGACTGCGGGTTGTTGATGTAGTGGATGTATTTTAAAATTAATTTCTTAAGCCTTCTGTAAGGCATGACATGGCTTACACGTTCACGTGACATTACTGGAAAATGGGACAGTCATAGGTCTACTGGAGGAACTTCGACCGGTTATTAGAGAACATAGCCGCATACGTGCCGCGTCACGTAGATAGACTAACGGTTCTACACTCGTGAAATACGAGTACGTTCCAAAACGCGTGATTAAGCACCACTGTCTTTTATACAGACGTTAGCACCTCTACCTGCCATCTTGCCAATCAAAGAATCTTTCTCTATTCTTCGGGCATGAGACTGACTAATGGTCTCATTTTAAATGACGTTACGACTTAACGTTTATTACTTGGACATGATAAATTGGAGGGGATGTGGAGGGAAAGTCCCTCACTCAGACGGTTGCATTGTTGTGAAGAAGAGGCCATTAGTTCTACGGATTCAAAAAAATTATGTTGGGGTCTCGTAATGGGCATGAGATTACAAATATGTCCCTGTCTGATCTGTATATAAAGAACGTGAAATGTTTCAAGTGCTCTGTGAGGGTTCAGATTAAGTAGCATCGGGATCTTTCTTCCGCCCACATTTAAAAAAAAACGTCCGCTCATCATGGCTTGTGTTCTGACTGTCCACATAAAAGTACACGGTAGCGTAGTTGGTTGAGGCAATATGCTACAAGCCGGAAGGTCGCGGGTTCAAGTCCCGATGGGGTCATTGGATTTTTTTCAATCGACCTAATCCTTTCAGCCGCACTGTAGCTTGAGGTCGACTCAGCCTCTAGCAGAAATGAGTAACAGGAATATTCTTGGAATATTCTTGGGGGTAAAGGGCGGCCGGCGCGTAGGGCTGACAACCTGACCGCCATCTATGAGCCGATTATCTAGAAAATGTGGGAACCTCAACATCTCACAACCCTATGGGCCTCCACGGCCGGTTACAGGGATACCTTTACTTTACTTTTTTACTTTTAAAGGTTAGACTAAAATTTTAGTTTCTAGTGGTCTGTGTTTACCCTGAGGTAAATGTTAAAGGTGAACTTTTCCCTATGCTTAATTGATTTAAGTAGCACGCCGTGAAGATGTGTGGGGCAGTTGAAGTATAGCTCCACCATTTTTTACCTCAGTGCTGGGTGAAGGCGAATGGTCACCTTCACGATGCGGCCGCTTTGCCCCAGGGGAAAGAGTCCCAATTGGATAGGATGCTTGGTGGACACGAGAGCCGTTCTGGATCCGAACCCCGTCCATCCAGCCTGTATCCCTTCACTATACCGACTGAGCCTGAGGTCCATTACTAATATTATTAATACTAATTAGTAATTAATTATACCGGTATTAGTTTAGTGGCAACCTGTTGATAAGAATGGATATGACTCCCGAGGCAGCAATTTCGGGGGCTGGGCTGCTAAGTCCAGTTTTGTGTTGGATGTTAGGTGATGAGATCGGTTTATCGTCTGGTAACAATTAGTGAGCTAACTTGTAGTAGTTAATAGGAAAGCTGGTGACCATGGCGTCGGGCAATGAAAGGAGCGTACGATCTTGTAACGCGAGAACGCTGGGATCTCTATTTGAATCCCGTTTGAGGTGTATTTGAACATCGGCCTGTTTCTGTGTAAGTAGGGACATTGCAGTGGTCTGATATCCTGCCTAGGAAATCCTACCAAATATTTATAAAGCATCGAATTTCGTAATTAGTTTTGAATCTGAACAATCGTGAGTCTCTGAAATCTGTAGAATTTGAAAGAGGAAAATTTAGTTAGATTCTTAGGGAGCTATTTAGGGGGTTAACTAGCGTAATTATTTAATTCATGAACTTAGTCATGAATTAAATAACTATCAGCGTTTATACTGTGAAGTTCTAAGTAGCGGGATGTTAAATAATTAATTTTAAATGCTTAGGATGATGCGGTCGTGACGTAATGGAGGTTCTCTTCCGGAATTCACTTGGAGGAGCTAAGAAAAACCATGAAAAACTCAAGACACGATAGGCGGCCTTTTGTCCGTGATTCGAAACGAGTACCTCCCGAATATAAAGCAGATTGTTACCCACCTTACCGCGACGTTCTCTGCAGAACGACAAGTTTGGCCACATTCACTCTATACGCAGTCATGTACGGCAGTTCAAATTGTACCGCCAACCAGAAAGTTGAGGAGAGAGAAGCTGTCCATGCGCAGTGTACATTGTCGTTGCAGCCACCTGCTTTTGTTAGGTTGATATAGCTCACCGAAAATGTATCCCTATTGTCCGACAGCCTATGATAAGTGGACAGTTTAACCGCAGGATTCGAAGAGAATTTGAAACACAAGCTCTGTAAATGCTATTAATGCAGTATTATACGTGCATTTATTGCTATGCACAATGGCTGACAGAATTCATGAATATTCAAAAACATGCGCAGTGAATCTGCTAATACTAACCCTTGTGACTACCTCTCTTGTTTACTCTGCGGTACTGGTGCGTAACTTCTGGCTGGAGACCAGAATATTTCTCGCCAGTTCCACAGGAAGCCAATAAAATCGAAACTGTAATTAGTTTCCGGTTTTGTTCCTTAGTTTTTATAACTCCAACACCCTTGCCCATGGCAGTTGAGATCATTACTCGAAAGACAAATCATTATTAGACCTGTTATCATCATCATCAGCAGCAGCAGCAGTAAAAACAATTCGAATGCATCTCTTCACTTTTCATACGCCTGGTGGAGTTTGTGTTTGCCTGGTTTCAACATCACACCTACAGACATAAACGTACCCGTGTGCCCATTTAACCCTGATAGCTGATCCCCCTTCCAGTCATGTTACCGGGTGCTTAAATAAGCAATCTATTTCTGTTCTGTTGCAGGAAAGTTTGCCGGAATTGCAAGTGTCCTCGTGAGGAGCACAGTGGAGGTATGGCGGCCACTGGTAATCCTCTGGGTCAGGGCGCCGGTCCTCCTCCGTCTCTGCCCCCAACGTCTGGCGGCGGGGGTGGCAGTGCAACGGGAGTCGCTCTTGGTCTCTTAGACCCGACAGACAAACTTCTCGGCAAGGGAGTCCAGTACGGACAATCTACTGACCCCCACCGACACTCGCAATCCGATGACGATTCGGGATGTGCCTTGGAGGAGTACACGTGGGTGCCACCAGGTCTGCGTCCGGATCAGGTAGGGATTTTCTCTGTATTCATTGCTGTCATAACTAATAGAGAACGTAACAACCTTCAGCCCCCCAGCTTAAGTGTTAGTGCCCAGCCTTTAAACCTTGCCTTTCACTCCCCCAACACAAAACCTTGCTTGTCCCAGCTCCTCCCCCTTCCCCCCTTCCTTCACTGCTCTCACATAGCTGTGTATATTTCCAACACCAGTCTGCTTTTACCGGTTCTCACGGTCTCTTCGCTTGCGGATTTCTTATATTTTTCCTTCTATCCTGAAGATGGAGGCGATACGTTCCTCCGAAACGTCCGTTAACACCACATATACACGGTGATAAATCCCAGAAGACTGCTTTCTTCATAGCCACCGCCGTGAAAGCCTCAAATCTTACATAATAGAGAACAGTTTTACATTTTGTTACCATGGAAACAGCACGACACAAGCCGAAACTGCTTATGTACAGATGACACATCAACAGACATTTCCACGCTTCGTATAACCCACTTTGGTAAGAACAGTAGGTAGTCTTTTGCAGTATCAGCTGATGCATAAAGAAGGTGCAGAATAAACCGTGCACAATACAGGAATACGGTCTGGGCTTAGGTTAGCGAGCGAGACACAGTTCCTCGAGCCTGTGGTGTTCGAGCAGTTACAGCTCCCGTCACCTGCAGAATATCCCTCTGAGAAAAACGGAGATGAATGAATAAGAGGGATTAGATGAAGTCACTCAGGTGTTAACGGTGTATTTAAGAACACGTTCTCAATTTTTGCGCCTTTTCATTTTAGTTGTAGGCCTGTCACAAATTGCAGAATGGAGACTTGCCGCATGTGTTGTGTCATATTCTGTCACATCTGTGATTTTAGTCCGGAAGCGAACTGTACCGACCGAGCGACTGCTGCTTGTCGGCGAAGTTAGTGCCAACTTTACTGGATAGAGGGTGCCGCGTGGTCAGCGCAACGGATCTCCACGGCCGTTAATATCAGATTTCTATTTCCTTGAAAGAGCTCCTCATTTTTATTCACGAGGCTGAATGGACCCCGTTCCAGACCCACTACGTCTCAGAAAAAATCTGGTAGCGCCGGGAATCGAACCCGGACCTCTGGATCTGTAGCCAGGAACTCTGACCACTAGACCACAGAGGTCTACATTATTCTACATTAAACGTATAAGTCCCAGACTGAACAGATTCTCCAGCTCCTGGGAGCATAATCTGTCCTTGGAAGCTGATATTTGTTATGCTATTCAAGAAATCCTTGGTATTTTGTGGAACCCGAAGATTGGTTATTGTATTGAAACTAGTCCCTGACCCGAGCCCTATGAATTTAGTCCACGCCCTTCCATTCCAATTGTTTAAGAATATTTTAATAACATCCTCCCGTATTTGCATAACAAGTCATCGCAATAAAAATATCACCGTGTTTCAAAGTTGTGCACATGGACGGATTCTTTGGACGAGACTCGCCAGCCTTATATTAAGTAGTAACACTCTTTTACTCGGAGGGTACGTACTTAGATTGTGCGAGAAGAGAATGCACATGTTAACGAGAGATTTAGTGAGTAACAATCCTGTTGGTAACAGTTTCTTCGTACTGTAGATATTTGGCAATCTGCATATTTACTTGAAGAGTACAATATTCTGGGTTGTAGTTCGGTAAAATTCGACCAAAATTCGCAGAACTGTCACGCTTCCATTGTCAGGCTCGAAGAATAAGCCATGCGCAATTGCAGCGTGGTTATTGCATGTTTCTTTTTGTCAGACCTCACAGTCACCGCTATGTGAGACCCTCAGATGTAGTGTTGTATAATACCCTGTATGAATTAGTACAGATTAGCACAGATTGTAGCTAATACGAGAGGATAAGCTAGGTTCGGTTAGAATTTTTTCGGCATATTTAGTTTTAGAACTCATTATGGCGGATTAGATAGGATTAGATATCCTGACTGCTACGCTTAAAGTATTAGATGAGATTCTGATTCCATTAAGTTATGTTGTTCTGGGATAGACGGGTAATGAACAGAGAGTTAAAGGCCTATTTTAACTTGCATTACGAGGAAGAAACATTTCTTTCTGTAGAGTAAACTGCTCTTGTATGTACTGTCATGTGTAGGGTTTGCGCGTGACTTATAAAACGAGTGATTGGATGACTGGATTTACTGACACCTTATTCACACAACTCGGAACTACAGTCAATACAGCGCTATCGCTGATCTACACACTTTACAGTTCACCATTACAGTCTTCACTAGTCGTACCCTGGCAACGGATTTATAACAGTCTCACTATCACTTCAAATCACACATGAAGTCTTTTTTTCACAGCCTAATTCTTTCTTGCCATTGTTGTGCTGGCTGTGATCCCGAAACTCGACTCTTTAATTCACTGAATGGCCTCAACTGAACTCTTCTTTATGTCACTTTGCACGGACCATCCAGAAAACAGCCTCTCTATATTTGGGAAGACGTGTTTACAGCGCTGTTGCATAGCAATGGAAGTTACTAGATTGTTGCTTACGTATTCGTTGCCGCGGAATATGTTTACCGAGTCGTTGCGTAGCATTGGGTGTACACGCCACAGTACGTTACTCATTGTAGTTAATTGAGAAAATCTGATATTATGACAAAATATTTCACTAATATCCACACAGATAAAATAATCGATTATTATACTCCTCGATTTTTTTTTAACCTAAGTTTCAACTCACATTTTGGCGCAGGACGTGTAACCGTTCATTTGATTGGAGAACTCTTGTGCATAAATTAAACATGTATTAGATTAAGATTACTAAATTACAAACAAAGAGATCCGGCAGATAGCCAGCTCTTACACGCGGAAGGGACATAGTTCAAGTTTTGCTATGTGAACAGGAAGTAACATCTGGTACTTTCCTGGAATTCTGGCAGTTTCAGCAACGTCGGAAAGGCTTTGAGAAAATGAGAGCTGACAGCTTGGGACAGCGATAACTTAGAAGTGGGACGGCCGGAGCCTCACACCCTGACTGTAATGCATCAAGGGGCTGTCATCCTTAGCGTCAGGTCAGCATCTGCCAGAATCACATAGCAGAGCAACATGATTGGGAATTCAAAATTTAGGGAACCTCCTAGTTTGGAAAATTAACCAATGGTAGAAGTGGAGGAGTGGATTTCTCTTGGAGTCTGGGGTTCGTGGACCTCAGGTTTCAGAGAGAGAAGCATTCCACCTCGAAAAGTCTTGACACTACTTTCGGCAAAGTCGGACACTAAATTTACCACTACGGCCCTTCCGTAGAATAGTATAAGTACAGTTCAAATCAATAGTATTAATAAATTCAGTTGATATGCAGAAAGCTGGAAGGGATTAAAGGACTACTAAGTGCAACCGTCGAAGGTGGGTGATTGTAGTGAAGTGTTCTTCCTGCCCTGTCCGAGCCAGACCCTTATAAGACCCTGGGATAGGAACCCAGCTCTACTGATTAAAGTAAAGAACCCAAAGAAGTGAGCGGTGGTGGAGTGGCGCACAACGAAAAGGGCAAAAAGGAAGTGAGCGGTTACAGACGGAACCTCTTGATTGAGACTTACAAGCAGTACCTTCAAATAATCTACATCACTTTCTTTCCTTATTTCTTGCGGTTCAGCATTCACAACCCTGCTGTATTTCGTTCGATGCTAAAGAGCGTAATCACCTGCTACGACCATCCTCACGGGGAGGCTATTTAAATAACCAAGGGGTAGACATATGTGATATATGGGAACGCAGTCGAGCTTTAATCGTACCGGTGATAATATCGTCAAGTATAAGGGGCTGTCGCGACGAATAACAATGGGTTCTGGATTAGGTGAATAGATCGATTGGCATTTGTTTCCAGTTACAGTTAGTTACGAGAGCTCACACATTGAACTCATTCTGAATGAATTACGACTCCTGTCTGGAAAATGCTCTATGAAGAATCTCCCGCAACTGAAATCTCTTGGACTGAACAAACTTCCATGCCGACCTAATATAGATCTCCACTTCGTCCTTTCATCTGTTGTTACTGACTTGCTACCTAGCAACGACTCGTTCGTTACTGTTCGTTGCGGCGGGAACGTGATTACCTAGCCGTTGCTCAGCCGTGGACGTCCGCTCCGGTTCCATTATTCGGCCTTTCAGCAGCCGTGTCAACAATATGATCCTGTGAGATGGGAACGGAGACTTCTGTAGAGGCGATTGCGTTTTTCCATGCTTTTCTGTAGTAAGAATACAGCGTTATATCTTTCCGGCAGCGAGCATTTTCAGTTAGGTAACCGTAATACTGTTGAGGTAGTGTGTAATCATATTTAAGGTGTGATGGATAGTGCTTTAGTCGTTATGGATGATAATTTTCTTCTTTTAGAAGCAGTAGCATGGATGCACATTTGTTATGGAATCACGCTTGTAATTGTTGGGTTGTGGATCAAATTAATTCAGTTAGCTTCATCGTACTGGGCGCCTGATTATGTTCTGTTCGAGGACTTGCATTAGAATTGAATTGGTATAAATCAAGCTGCGCTCCCAGACTGATTGCTCTGTAATAACAAAGGAATATTTTTTCGTACATGTGGGTATTTCCCAGAAGCTTTGAGGCAATCTTCCATTCACTTTACTAGGATTTTTTTTTCCATAACAGTGACCCAGCAGCTGTTCATTATTTGTTGCTTCAGTGATTCTGTTTTAGCCGAATTTTTGTAACATGTAATTATATGTGGTGGGATAAATGAATACATCCTATGCACTTTCAGTTGTTTTAACTGATCCTTTTGGAATGAAAAGACATTGTTGCAGAGTATCTTCTAGACATTCTTGAGTGGGGGAAGAAATACAATAATTCGTATGGTATGAATTGCTACTACATTTTTTTTAATTGGACTTAGTTGAAATGCATATTTACTCAATTTTTTTTTGTTTAATCAGCAATCAGAATATACATTCTGTAGGCTAATATTATGGGTGTTGAGATGACATGATGAGGAGGTGTCCAGGGGCGAATCCTCAGGAATTCAAATCAGGTCAATTGGC